TCTCTGTAAAGCAATGGAAAAAACATCCTCAGGCGAGGATTAAAAAAACAACACCTCCCCCCCCAACTGTAATTGTAGGAAGCCTGAGATTTTTGTAAGAAGGAAAATAAAGGGTTACTTTATTTATTTATTTTTGACTGATGGGTGGCAAGAATGAAAGTAATTATATTTTCTGACTCTTCATTTCACCTTTGTAATTTAATAACTGTTTTCTGGAATGTTTTTCCTTTAGTTCTCTCTATGGCTGAGGAAATCATTGAATTTCATGTTAAATAGCACGCTTTCAGGAGCTAAAATGAAGAGGTTCAACTTAGCCTTATACACAGAGGTCCCCCAAGAATAACCTGCTGTCAGAATTGAATGAAAATGCTTCTTGAAGGTACCCTCTGAAAGTATCCAGTTTATGTCTTTGTTTTGTGCAAAAAAAATTCTCTCCCAATACTTAGTCCAAAACCACAAGGCCCTTTTTCTTTTCTTCTCGAAGCCTCTGTCCCAGAGGCTGGTGAGGAATAGCATCGGCTCAGGGGCATCAGCATTTCCCACAGCAGTAGATTCCGCCTGAAAATATCAAACAGCTCGATACACGGCGCTCCCCTGATAGCCACAGGGGCACCTTGGTTATATACTAAACCCGCAGCACCTTGGGAACACTTGCACTTTGGGGGACCTCCCCTTTGCTCAGATGGCACCTGTGTGCTCCCTGTGGAGCTGCTGAGGTTGCTGTCTTTTTGCAAGTATAGCTTATCTGCTACATACCTGTGGGGCTCAAGCATTATCTACATGAGAGGTATCAAGACTCTAGGATTTGGTTTTGGGAATTTTTCCAAAAACAAGTGGAATTATAGGTTCCAAATTTGTAGTAGTAGTAACTTTCTTCTTTCCTTCCTCTTCCTTCCCTTCCCCCCACCCCCTCCTCCCATCATCATGATCATCCAATTCACACATTTACACCCCTAATCCTATAAACATTCTTTTTTTCTTCTTTTTTTAATCTTCACCCAAAGGAGGGAGGGAATTTTTTTCCATTGACTTTTAGAGAGAGTGGAAGGGGGGTAGGGGAGGAGAGAGAGCCAGAGAAGTGGAGGTGAGAGACTGGTGGATTGATTGCCT